GGAAGAGCCCTGCGGCGGCTGGTCCTCGCGAAGGTCCAAGTGCTGGCGCACCCTTTGCAGAAGGTGCTTTGACTGGGAAAGCACTGGGATTCTTTCTCTGTGTACGAGCTGTGGGACTCTGTGATTTCCCTCTAAGACCAGGATTGACAGATACATAGATGGATGGATCTATCAATAAACAATAAACGTAGGATAAGTAAATGATAGTATAAGGATAAGTATAAGGATAGGATAAGTAAATGATAAGTAAATGATAGACAAACCTAAAGGCAGATGGATGGCAGGGTTAGAAACACGTTTTTAAGGCTTGCTATGTGCCAGGCACAAGGCTATGTGCTTTGGTCCATTATTTCATTTGCGTCTCTCCGGAACCCTATGCGTAGCCTCCGGCCCTATTGTCCCTCATTACCTCTGTCCCTATTTTCCAAATGGGGAAACTGAGGCCTCAGACAAGGTAAATGGCTTGCTTCCTGGCAATCTTCCGCAGAGCGAGGATGGCGAGCGGGTCTCAATCGACGGCCCCAGCCTCCGCCGTCGGCGCTCTGCCCGGCCGCGCCCCAAGCCCCAGACGCCCTGGGTACCGCGTCCCTCCAACCTCGCTCCTTGGCCACCAGCCCTGATGCGGACATCGCCCCGTCTCACTCGTGGAAATCCCCAGGAGACCCTGGTAGATGGGAACATCGTTCCCGAAGCGTGGGCTTTACCGCGTGCGCGCTTGGCAAGGGGTCTCACTAACGAGAAAGGGGAAAGCTCTGTCCAGAGATTTTAAGATGCCCGGAAAGTTTCAATCAGTCATTCCTTTAACTGTTAACTGAGCGTTTACTACGCGCCTGACGCTGTCAGCAAGGGAGTCTAGGGCAGGGACAGACAGGTGGACAAGTGACCACATTCCAGACGGCTGTGCCCGGCGCCCACCCGGGCCGCGGGGCAGCTCCAGGAGGAGGCGGGGGAAGGGTACCCCCGCACATACTCGGAGGGTCTCCAGCACATTCCGTGTGCCCCGCTAACTCCCCCTCCAGCCTGGGCCCTCGACCGGAGCCCGCACGCCGGGGAGGGCGATGGCAGTGACTTTGCGCGGGGGCCCTTGATCTCATCCCACTCTCTCCACAACTTTCCTAACTGCCGCGGTGTGTCACCCGGCCGAGGGGTGGGCCGCCACGCGCATCCCCCCGCCGCGGTCCGGACCCCCCTTCCGGCGGGGGTGGCACGCGGCCGGCGTAGGGCCTGCGTCAGCGGCAGCCCGCCGGCGATTGGGGCGCGCACGCCTCCTGCGCTCCGGGGCGAATTATAAAGTGGCTCCCGCAGCCCGGAAGGCGAGGGAGGCTGGCGAGGCGGGCCCCCAACCCTGCGCTGCGGCCGCGGCGACGCCGAGAACCGTGGCGGTGAGCCCCGCGCCGCCCGCCCGCCTGCCTTGCTCACCTCTCCCTCCTGGAGTCGCCCGCACCGGCTTTCTCCGACCAGCCTGTGCGTCCGGAACAGCGGCAACGTGAGTGAACTTGGCCAAAGCTCGCCTTGCTGCGTGGGTTTGGGGCCGTCCGCCAGCTGCGTTTTATTCCGCGTTGAGTTGCATGGGGTTCCCCAACTTTCTTCCGCTCCTTGTATGTGACCCGGGTCAATATCGCGCCTCCCCGGGCTGGCGCGCTCTCGAATTTGGTCTCCGTAGTTCCCCCCAGAATCCTGCCCGGGGCAGCGGCCGCCCGGAAAGGGAGCGAGTGTCTGGGGCCGCCCCGGGGTCCGGGTGACAGTGACAACTCGGGAACCGCGAGGCGATCGGAGCAGTCCCCCAGGCGGGCGAGGGGACCGGGAAAGA